ATGCCCAACGGCACATTTTCTGCAGAACGTACGTCCAAATCACAACGAAAGAGATAAGTGCACTCACAGTGTAAAAACCATGGCAATTTCTATTGTTATTAATTGCAGGTATGTTTGGTAGAGCTCTATTTTGATTTTGATTCTCTATAGAAGCTGATTCTGTGAGAGAAGTGATTATGTGGCTGAAAATTCTTCTCTTCAATTCTATAGCATAAACTGTGAAAATCATGATGGATAATCACTTCATAGAATTAGGAGAAACTATTTTTTTCAGCTCTCAGGCTCTTAGTTCATTTCAGAGAATCACTTCAAGGAATCAGCAGAGAATTAACTTTGGGAGCTCTGCCAAACAGGCCCTACATTGCCACGTAAGCAATTTTGCTGATGTGGCGGCATATTTATTGAATAGAGAGGGAGAAAAAGGGAATAAACTGTTCCTTGATAGGAAGCGAAGTCTACGCACGACCCGAGGCTGAAGAAACCGCTCAAGACCGCATTGGGAGATCCTACGTTGGTTTTTACTGGAGCCCTCTACATCCCATACGCCAGGTCTCTGTTCGACCTCCTGCCCGCCGCCAAGCGCCACTGGCAGTAGGGAGCGAGCTCGCGCTCGCCGCTGGGCGTAGGGACCTCAGACACCACCTCCTACCGTCGAGCTCGCGCACCACCGCCCCACGGCTCCACGTCCACCCGCCCAATCCGCCGAGCCCACGTATCTCCCTCCCTTCGTCGAGCCCACGTGTTTCCCGTATCCTCGCCTCGCTGCGCACGGGTTCATGGCGCAGAGGATCCTGGTATGAGAGCGAAGATGATTGGTTGATTTTTACTTGGACTTTAGATAGAAAAATTGTAATGGGAAGAGTAGTTTCTTGGTACAATGTCCTAGGTTATAGAAACTATCTGTGGTTTGTATATTGTAAGTGCCTTAAGGGCTTCACCAACATAGGGTAACACGAACATAGGCTTCAGACAAAAGCAGCAGGCCACCTAGGCTGAACGGCTCAAGCTCCTAAAACTTCCAACGCTACCTGTTGGTTGTTCGCTTCAGGCTTTACATCACTGCAGCACTTGATGGAGGGTGCATCAGCAAAAAGTAATATGGGAACAGATGTGTGGTCCCCTAAAGACGGAGGGGATTTCTTGCTATAACACGTTCTCCAATGGATGCCTACAGCCTTTGTCAGATGGAGCTGTAGCGTCCTTGTAGGACACTGATAGCCTGCAGGGTGACTAATACCTCATCTGTTGCCCCATGAGACAACCTCTACCTTGAGCACATGTTAGCATTTTCAAATCGTTTTCACAGGTTTTTTTAAAGTGATTTTGAATATCCACTGGTCTAGTGTCAACGTGATTAGGACCTCCCAAGTGGCACTAGATAACTGACATGCAAACACATTTGTCCCTCTTAATAGTATGACTATATAACATAAAGCCGGTTATCTATCAAAGGCTGGTAAGGAAATCATGATTAAGGCAATGGCACAAGCTATTCCTACATATGCCATGTCTTGTTTTGATCTATCCAAAGGCCTTTCTGGGGAAATCTCATCTATGATTGGGAGATATTGGTTGATCCAACAAAAGAGAATAGAATTCATTGGGTACCTTGGGAAAACTGACTAGATCAAAAAGCATACGTGGGTTGGGATTTTGGGATTTACTCCCTCTGTCTCCAAATAAATCAATTCCTAGAATCATTGCCAGTCAAACTTTTTAAAATTTAACTATCTTTATAGACAAGAGTAACAACATATATGACATAAAATGAGCACCTTATTAAAGTATATTCTATGGTAAATCCAATGATACTAATTTGATATCATGAATCTTAACGTTTTTCTCTACAAATTCGGACAAAGTTTAAAATTTTTGACTTAAGACAACAATAAGAATCTATTTATTCAAGGACAGAGAAAGTATATACTTTCAACATTTCCATGCTTGCTAGGCAAGCTTGCACTAGTAGATAAACGACTTTTGATCCACTTCAAAATTTGGCTTTAGTCCCGGTATTTTTCACGTCCGGGACTAGAGAGACCTTTAGTTCCGGTTTGTAGTTCCAACCAGGACTAAAGGTCCCTGCCCAACGGCTACTGCGGCAGGCTTTTGCTGCAGGGGATCTTTAGTCCCGGTTGGAGCTACCAACCGGGACTAAAGGTTAACTTTTACTCCCGGTTGGTCCCTCCAACCGGGAGTAAAAGTCTACTCCCGGCTGGAGGCTCCGTCCGGGACTAGAAAATGACTTTTAGTTCTGGTTGATGTCTTCAACTGGGACTAAAGGTCCCCTCCTATATACCCCATCTTCCTCCCCGAGCCCGAGCCACTTCGACCTCAGTGTTCTTGCTTCATCGCCAGCCTCTCTTCTTCCTCATCGCCGGTAATCACAAGATTTCTTCGATTCCTCCATCGATTCTTCGGTTTTAAAGGTTACCAACTTTATATTCTCATGTTTCATCAGTAGCATATCTCATTTATATATATATATATATAATTCAATTAACACCATGCATGCTTTCAATTCACCGGATCTTTTTTCTCGTAAAAGTGGGTTCTGAGGCAAGAACAGGGGACCAACTATTGCGGATACTATGTTTGCGAGTTCATCATGGCGTACGCAAAAAGAACTCCTGAAGAGATCCTCAAAGTATGTTATATAAATATATTCATATATCCACAATTTCTTTTATTGCTCATATATATAAGTAATCACGCGACCAACACACACACATATATATATATATTAATATTTTTCTTTTAACTTTTATTGAAGACTCTATGGTTGAAGGAAAAAGTCATACGACGTGACCAACTGAAAGCAATTCAAGAGACCATAGCAGGATTTCTTAATGACCAGGTCTTAAACCCTGCCGACGAGTTCTACAATGACGTGAACGAAACATGGAAGCCAAACCAGATGGAGTGAATTTGTTATCTCAAGGATATGATAGAATATACAATACAAGCTTTATTTGTAATATATATACATATTATATGTACATAAAATAATGTACAATATATGTATATGCATGTAATATATACGTTATTTTCATACTTTAGTTTGTACAATGGTCGAACATTATAAGCGTGTAGAATACGTATATTATTAGCAGCGTAGAATGCGTATTCGAAAACCTATTTGAAAACCAAAACGAATCATCAATTCAAAATAGAAACAAAAAAAGAAAAAAAAAGAAAATCTTTAGTCTCGGTTGGTAATACCAACCGGGACTAAAGGGCCGGCCCACGTGGCCAGACCGGGAGGCCTCTTTAGCCCCGGTTGGTATTACCAACCGGGCCTAAAGGTGGACCTTTAGTCCCGGACGAGAAACCGGGACTAAAGGAGGGGCCAGCCCTTTAGTCCCGCATTCGTGCTCCCGGTTGGGAAACCCCGGTTTTCCAACCGGGAGTACAACTCGTTTCTGTACTAGTGTTGGTGACTTCTTGTGTACCCAAACACTTTGTGCACACAAGTGCTGAGTGCCAAGTACTTTCTTGGTAAATCCATTCTTGAAGCTACTGCAAGTTATTGAAGGAAGGGCTAATATGGAGGATTGGGAGTGGCACTTCAGTTGACATTTGGAGGGATTCCTGGATTCCACGGAACCACACAAGAAAAATTATTACACCTTGTCGTGGCTCCATCTTGATCATGAAGGCCATTGATATGATTAATCCTACTACTGGATCTTGGGATGAGTAGCTAGTAATAAATACTTTTTGGGAGGAAAGATGCTAAAATTATTTTATCAATGCCACTCTATGATGATATGGAGGATTTTCAGGCCTGGCATCCTGATCCAAAGGGTTAATTTTCGGTCAAATCGGCTTATGCCTTGGGTATCAAATTAAGGATCAAGATAATGGGCTGATGTCTCACCCTCATCTGGGCCTGGCAGAAGCTTTGATTGGAAAAGGATATGGAAGTTGAATGTTGCAAATAAGGTGAAAGTTTTTGTTTAGCAGCTAGCCCACAATGCCCTGAAAGTTAAAATTAATATTGCTAGGAGAGGTGTGAATCGAGATACACTTATGTCATTTGTGCCAAAGATTTGATGAAGATCTTGGTCACTTGTTTTTCCAATGCAAAGATGTGCGATTATGTTGGCTGCTTCCTAACTCAGAAGAGGCGAGAACAAGTCTATAAGCACAAGTCTCTATTGAAGATATGTTGGAGAAAGTTTGGGGCTATCAAGCTGATGTGCAACAGAAAATTATCTTATTTTTCTAGTGTTGGTAGTCTATGCTTAATAAGGTGAATGCAGGTGAGAGAAGGAAGAGTGCCTAGGAAGTGGTTAAGGATGTCCTTTACCATACGCAAGCCTGCAACTTTGCTTTGCAAGGCAACATTTCTAAAATCTATAATGTAAGTAAATTAAAATAGAGAACCCCACCGGAGCAATTCTACAAAACCCAACTGTGATGGGGCTTTTCATGAAGATTCTAACACTACTAGATTTCGACCCTATTGCCACTTGATGCCATTTCTATTACCACAAATTGTGTTATAATAGGGGTGTGTTTTGCAACATTTGTCCAAAAAAGTGGTAATAAGGGGGACTGTGTTGCCATAAAATAGTGTATTGTAATTTTTGGGCGTTGAAACAGGGTCAAAATTTAGTAGCTTAACAAAGTTGGTTGGGGCTTTGTTATACCGTGATTGTTGTAGACAAGTCATGGTAGCAGGTGCTGGTCCAGAAGAGCATATGATGAACGCCCAATACACTAAACCATGGCCTGTATAAAGGGGCTGGAGCTCTCGGCATCTTTTGGGCATTCAACGTATTATTTTGGAGGCTGATGCTGCGACTGTGGCTAATGCGGTTAACAACCCAGGCTCTAACAAATATGCTCTTAGCACCATGTTGACGCGATATCTCCTTTTTCGGCTGCGAAGGGCGCCACATCCGCCCGATACCTATAAAACCTCACAAGTCACCACCCCAGCTCCCAAGCAAAGGCAGCTCACGAGGACACACAAGAACGGGAAGCTTCGGTGCATGGGCACCTTCCTCGCGCCATTCCCGTCTCCCCAGCCCGTCTTTCCCACAGTGGACACCGAGTTCTCCTCCACCGCGGTTTCTGCCGACGCCGAGTGCTCCCCCACCTTCCTCGCCTCTCCCGACGCAGAATTCTCTTCCTCCATCATCGCCCTCCTCGCCGCCATGGACGACGACGTCGGAGCTGGGTCGTCACAGCCTAATGCGCCCTTCGCAGCTGAAGCTGACGCCGACTTTGCTAATTTCCCGCTCTTATTTGCTGCCCACGAACACGATCACCACCAGGCCGTTGACGCGATGATGATGCCATTGCCGCCGAAGGTTTTGGCTGACCTTTCGGTGAATCCCATTCCCAGCAGTGTGGTTCAAGGATCATTATTCCCGGCCGCGGGCGAAGGCGGGGCCACGGCCGGGCAGCACCTCGCGATAGGAAAGAGACGGCGGCGGCAGACGAGAAGCAGCTCGCAGTCTAACGACGCTCCCGGCGAGAGCAGCGGCGGCCAGGCCCATGCGCCAGATAGGGCCAGGGCCAGCCGCCGGGTGTGGGTCCGGACGCGGAGCACCGAGTGGTGGGACCACCTGGACGGGCCGTCGTGCCCGGACGCCGAGTTCCGGAGCGCCTTCCGCATGTCGCGCGCCACGTTCGGCGCGCTCTGCGACGCGCTCGGCGGCGCCGTCGCCAAGGAGGACACCGCGCTGCGGACTGCCATCCCCGTGCGCCAGCGCGTGGCCGTCTGCCTCTGGCGCCTCGCCACGGCGGAGCCCCTCCGCGAGGTCTCCCGCCGTTTCGGCCTCGGCATCTCCACCTGCCACAGCATCGTGCTCCAGGTCTACCACGCCCTGGCCGCCGTGCTCAGGCCCACGACCATCACCTGGCCTGAGCCTAACTCCGCCGCGACCGTTGCGGCCAGGTTTGAGGCCGCCTACGGGCTCCCTGGCATCATCGGCGCCGTCTACACCACGCGCGTCACCGTCGTCGCGCCCAAGGCCAACGTCGCCGCGTACTACGACCGCGGCCTCACGGAGCGGAACCAGAAGGCGTCCTACTCCGTCGCCGTCCAGGCCGTTGCTGACGCCGACGGAGCGTTCACGGACGTCTGGATCGAGCCGGGGTCGCTATCTGACGCAGCCGTGCTTGGCAGGTGGGCTCTTTGCGGGCTCCTAGGGGGCCACGGGCAGGAGCAGCGGCTAGTCGGTGGCACGAGCTATCCGCTCATGGACTGGATGCTCGTGCCGTACGCGCACCAGAACCTGACGTGGACGGAGCACGCGTTCAATGAGCACGTCGCCGCCGCGCGCGGTGTGGCGCGGGGCGCGGTCAGGCGGCTCAAGGCGCGGTGGCGCTGCTTGCAGCGCCGCAGCGAGGTGAAGATGCAGGACCTCCCCAGCATGATCGCCGCCTGCTGCGTGCTGCACAACGTCTGCGAACGCGCCGGCGAGGAGCTTGACCCCGATCTCATGCAGTATGAGCTCGATGACGACGACGGTGACGTCGTCGCTCACGACGCCGCGCCCCCCGCACCGGCAGTGCAGGCGGCGCGAGACAGGATCGCGCACGGCCTCCTGCACGGCAGCCACCCTATTAACTAGCGAGTAGCGACAGGGTATTTCATCATCACTTGTCGCCTTTATATACACCAGGGTTTTTATTATCTGAAATAAAAATTTAGGAATTTATTTATCGAAACCCACGCATAGAACGGAAATTTCAAAATTTTTGGTGAATCTGGGCCGGTAAAGAATACCCTAATTAAATTTCCGTAGAGGGCGAAATTCACCGGAATTTTTTACTACAACCATCGGTGTATTTAACTAGGGTTTTTTTACTGGAACCTCGAACTCCCTCAACGTGGACGGGACTCGATCGGTATCCAACAGCGAGCCCACACACCTGGAAACAGAGGCGAAGCGATCCATAGGGCGAGGTAGGGCGACCGTCCTCACCCCTCCGGTGAGAGCAGGAGCAGGTATAGTCACAAGAATTCTGGGTCGACCGGGTCGAGGGACGCGGGTCGACACTCGACAAAAATATGATACGAAGGGGGTATACCCCTGCTGTACGAGAACCAAATATTTGGTACATGAACCCGAAGCATATGGGTCGATGACCCCGATACGAAGCATGGAGTCTTGTATGTATTGCGGTGGTTGACTTGTTGATTTGGGACCAAGGTTGCAAAGAATGTTACATATTATTCATCATCAGTAAAATAATAAAACAAAAGAATAGTTGAGCCCAATCTGAGCCCGTTATACAAATGGGCTGCAATTTCTGGCCCATCCACTCATCTACACCTTGTGAATTTGTGATGCCCTATTCGCACTGTAAAATACACCAAAGCAGCCGCCGCCGGTGACTCTCGTTCTCTCCTAGTCTCATCGTCATCCGTCCTCCACACGCGTGGCTGTGGGTAGGACTGCGCTGGCTGCGACACAAGGAGGCGCGAGGTCCGGCGACGCGCGTGGGGTGACTGGGTGGCACTACGCCGGCAGTGACACAAGGAGGCGCGAGGGTTGGCGACGATCTCGAGCTCGGTTCTCCATCGCCGCCGGCGCCGGCGCCACCACCGGCGCGAGGAGCAACGAATCCCTTCGGGTAACTCTGGCCGCCAGACCCTGTTTTCGTGCTCCTGCGCATGCTCCCAGCCTCCCGTGCACTCTTCATCTAGGATTGGGACTCGTCCCTTCTTGAACCACTGCTGTAATCGGGGCGTGACCCATCGATAAATGGGACGTCGACCCATCTCGTCCCCGTACCTCGATTTGGGTCGACGTACCTGGTACGCGGTTCGCGGCTTCGACCCCGAACCCTGTATTCAAAGGTTGAAGACGGGACTACAGGAGCCGTTGTAGGACGACAGCACGAGGAAAGGGGCGGTGGCCAACGAGCGAACTGGACTGTCCCACGTGGGCCATCGAGGGGGAACTAGGCTTTATTTAGGCCTTACGTGGCAGACCATACGCCGTACCGTGCACCGCTCGGCACTCGCCAAACCCGAAGGCACACACACGGGCACGGCGCACCACAGGTGGGGCCGCTGCTGCGGCGGCGGCCACTACGCCAGATTCATACAGCAGCAACGAGGGCATTTTTACTGTGGGGGCGGCTGGGGTTGGGGGCACAAGTACAGTGGGTGTCCTCGGACCCCAGCAGCCCAGCCGCCCCTACAGATGTCACTGTAGGGGCGACTGGTAATCTGAGCCGCCTCTACAGTTGGGGCTGATCTATAGGGACGGCTCAATCAGCAGCTGCCCCTGCAGTGCCCATTTGTAGGGGCGGCTGTCACTGGCCGTCCCTGCTGTTCGACTATAGGGGCGGTTGAATCACCAGCCGCCCCTACTGATGGCGCACGAATAAATAGCAGCCACCCCTTCTTCTACCTCGGGACACACTGTTCTAAAAAAAGGTTGGGAGGCCTTTGGCTCCTCCTAAAAATTGCTCTATTAAAGGGGTAGGTTTTGATCTCAAATCCTTTAGTGGAGAGACTCTAAAAGGTAAGAAAATGTTTCTCCAACTCTTTATTTAAAGTTTAATTCGTTGATTAATGAGTAATTTGATTTTTGGTTTTCTCTCTCTTCCATGGAGCTTGAGCTAGTTATGAGTGAAATAGGACCCTAATTTTCACTATACTAGGGTAAATTAGGTAGGAAAGTAAGATTACACCCTTTGTTAGTACATCTTTGTTGATTTTAGTGTAATATTAGTAAAGTTTGATGCATATGTCATGAAACCCTATATCTAGATCTAGAACTAGGATTTTGTTTTTTTTTCTTTTTTAATTTTTTCTTTATGTGACTAGGGTTTGCATGTAGGTGAATGTGTAAGATTTTAATTGTTGCTAATGTGTAAAATATCCTCTACCATGGCTACTAATTATCATTTAATATTTATTTTGATTCTTTTCTATAATGTGTGTTTTTAATTAGTTATGGATAAATATGCCATTAATTAATTATCCTCTACCATGAAATTGGAATGGAGTTTGCATGAAAGGTAGTGGATGAAATATTAAATGTTGCTAATTGTTTTCTTTGAAATTATTTATTTGAACCAATTAATTTATATTTTAAAATATTTATGCATTAATAGTCAATTAATTAACCATCCTCTACTACCATGGTGCGTGTCTCAGGTATATACAATTATTCTCGAGTAATATTCTTTCTTTGGTTGTTTTGTTTCTATAAGATGGACTACAGGAACTCTTGGATGTATGGTTCGTTAAGACACGACGCACTTTTTCGTGATGAGGTGGACAAATTCATCAAAGCCGCAGAGAAGCATGCAGCGACGTTGAAAGAGAATAGTGACACGATTATTTGTCCCTACAAAGATTGCAAGAACCTTATTGCATTTTGAGATATGAGTACCATCAAAGAACATCTGATTAGGAGAGAATTTGTTTCGGACTACACAGTATGGAATCATCATGGTGAAACAGTGGTTGTTGATGACAGCGACGATGATCTAGCTGATGAAGCTGAAACCCAAGCATACTTGTCCCAATTCACAGACGATCTTGATCAACAAATGGATCGTGACTATGGCAATCAACAAGGTGGTGGCTTTGGCAATCAACATGGTGGTGGCTTTGGTAATGAACAAGGTGGTGATGATGCTGGTGGTGCCAGCAATGATGGCGAAGCACGTGAGGGGGATGCAGATGACGGTGACAACTTGGACGAAATGCTTGGGGCCTTTGGACCAGAAATATTAGAAAAGAGCAAGAGAGGTCTAGAAAATCTTGAGAGGGTGACAAAAGCATCGAAGAAGACTGTGTATGATGTTGAGAAGGGTTGTCCGACATACTTCACACTGCTACGTTTTGTGCTTGAGCTACTCATCCTGAAGGCTAAGTATGGCTGGTCAGACTACAGTTTCGATGATCTGTTGTGCCTCATGTCACGGTTGCTCCCACGACCGAACACAATTCCCGCCAACACATACCAAACGAAGAAGGTTATAAGTCCACTCACATTAGGGGTTGAAAAAATCCATGCATGCCCCAACCACTGTATCCTTTTTCGGCGTGGCACATCGTTCGAGACTTTAGATACATGTCCTAGGTGTGGGGCTAGTCGGTATAAGAACAATGACCTTCAAAGTGGGGTGGAAGCCTCCACAGGAAAGAGGAAGAAGGGTGGGAAGAAGGTGGTGCAAGAATCTCAACCCCCAGAGGAAACTTCATTAGGCAACGATACAAATAAGAGAAGAATTCCTGCCCTAGTTATGTGGTACTTGCCAGTGACCGACCGCTTGAGGCGTATGTTCCTAAACTCTAAGAAAGCCATACTGATGACATGGTGGGATGATGAGCTGCAAGGTGGATGATGATACGATCGCACACCCGGCCGATTGTAACTAGTGGCAAGCGTTCGATGCCAAGTACAAAGCAGAATTCAGTGATGACTCACGGAATGTATGGTTCGGCTTGAGCACCGATGGAATGAATCCCTTCAATGAAAGGATGACCGACCACAACACATGGCCAGTCATCTTGACCATGTACAACCTCCCAATGTATTTGTGTCAGAAGAGGAAGTACATTCTCCTCACCATTCTTATCTCCGGCCCCAAACAACCAGGCATTGATATAGACGTGTTCTTGGAGCCTCTGATGCAAGAAATGGAGAGGCTATGGAGGTATGGGGAGCCGATGTACGATGCGTTCTGGTGGGAGGACTTCATATGCAAAGCAATAATATTTGTTACTACCAATGATTACCCCGTGCTGTTTGCCCTGTCTGGATAGTTCAAAGGCAAGACTAGATGCTTAGTCTATTTGGATGGTACTAAATGGGTGTTCCTAGATGGATCTAGGAAGATAGTTTACATAAGGAACCGGCGCTTCTTAAAGATAGGTCACAAGTACCGCGGCAAATTGTACCTAAGATACTATGGCAACATCACGGAGGATGAACCCCCTCCAGAGAGACGTCGTAATGGAGAACATGTGTTCAGAATGGTCCAAAACATACACGTCGTCTATGGAAAGAAGAATCCCGATGGAACGATTAGAGATAGAAGCACACCTCCCATCGAAGGCGTACCATTCAAGAAACAATCGATCTTCTTTCAGTACCTGCCTTATTGGCTAGACTTGGAGGTCCCCCATGCCATTGATGCGATGCACGTGCAGAAGAATGTCTTTGAGAGTCTCATGGCTACCTTGATGGACACGGGCAAGTCAAAGGATGGTCTCAGATCATGGAGAGACATGGTGCAGCTGAACGTGATGCGAGAGCTTTGGACGGTACAGCAAGATAATGGCAAGTACAGTCTTCCCACGGCTAGCTTCAACCTAACCCTAGAGGAGAGGAGAGCTATATGTAATTTCCTTAGGGGGGTCAGAGTGCCGACTGGGTTTTTGGAGAACCCGAAGAAGCTAGTGTCGATGAAGGACCTATCATTAACATACTGCAAGGCTCACGATTATCATGTGATGCTGATAGTGTTCCTACCAATTGCAATCAGGGCTATAAAGCCAGAGTTCCTAAAGATGGCCATCACCCGCATGTGCTACTTCTTTTCGAAGATCTCACAAAAGACGATTTGCAGGCAAGAGCTGAGTGACCTACATGAATTCATG